TAAATGAATTACAATTTAATGAATAATGAATGAACTTGTCTCAATCTTGTTGATAGATATTATGGATTTTTATTTTCATTGCGAAGCGATACAAAAGACTTTGGAAGAATGTCGAAGTCTATTTCTCAACAATGTAACATTGGATTACCTTTGATATTTTTTTCTTTGAAAGAACAAAATTTTGAGATTCAATAGTATCCATTTTTTTATATCGTTCCTGCAGGATAATACCCTAAACTTCAATTGCAAATAAAATATGCCACTTCATTAACTTCGATTTCTGGGAAAAAAGCCTTATTTTTCGAACTCAATTAATAGCTTGAAAATATTATTTTTACATGTTTACAAAGTTCTATCGGAGCGCTTCAAAACCTAATAAAAGACGAGATGTTAGGCTAATTTTCTTGGTAGCTAGAGGACTTTTTCTAACTTTTGTACCATCCGTTTATTTGAATTTGATTTCTTGCTAAAAGCTATTCAAAGATGTATTCGACAGCCAACAATAGTTGTTCCGCAAGAAGAAATTCTTAAAAAAATAATTTGTATTCATCTTTTGTACATAATCGTTTTAATAAAGTTCATTAGAGAGATAATAATTAGTAAAGGATGAAAATCGTTTCTTTATAGAACAACTAACTTTATCGACTATCTGCGATTACAGCATCATGAAGCAAAAACTTTTGATTATAAAATCAAGGTTCTATATTAACGAACGAGGACTGTCAAACTCATTAGATATGTCAATACTAATGTGGTATTGATAGAATTGAGATAAGTATCATTGATTTTTTGGTTGAAATTTTATTTGTAAAAAAACAATGATTTGAAATAAGACTTCTTACCTTATGATAGATGTAAATGAATGATATTCTATCCTGTAAATTAGTAGACAGCATCGCTATTTTAGCAAAGCATTAAAAATCGTTTGACGAACTTGTTGGTGATATAAGTCAACAAAGAGTTTTTATAATATACTTTGATTATCATAGATCTAATAATTTTTCTCGTTGAAAAACCAATCTTTCTGCCCAGTTTAATATGAACTCATTTCAGTTGCATCTCTATCATATACAATGGCTTCTAAAAATTATTAACCCACGCATATTTTCAATTTTTTTTTCAGTGTCGTAACCGCTAATAAGAATCCAACTAGTGATTGATGTAGAGAATGATGCTGCCGAAGATGAATACGATTTCTAGTAGACGAAAAACTAAGTATTTTGGCTTCTAGAGTTTGCGAATAGAACTCTGTTTGAATCAAGCTTACGGAAGGCATAACAATGATGTTTTCATACAAAATACCAGAGAAAAATCAACTTTTGTGCCTTCTATAAAGTTTATATATCTTAATCAAAGGTTTTTAACTTTCCGAAGACCCCGCTCCTTCGAAAATGAAATTTTCAACACAAATCACTATTTAGATTCTTATTAGCGAATGTGACAGTGGAAAAAATTTTGAACAAATCTAAGCGAATAACTTTGACAGCGACTGTATGTATTACGTCGCATGGAAACTTTAGAAAAATATCACAAATTTGATAAAAAAATGTCTACACTAAAATGACTAATACTAACTCTTCATGAAACTTTAATTACTCAGCACTATTCATGAATATTAATGATTCAAATTAACAAGAAAACAATAAATAAACATTATTTGATACATCGCTTGCTTTTTGTAATGAATAACTAATTATAATCAGATTTTTGTAAAAAAATTTTTTTTGCAGTTCAAAACATCCAAGGTTCTATTTCTAAATTTTCATTTAATATAAATTTCTAAAATGTTAATTACGTTAATCTATTTTTGTTAAAAAAAGAATAATCGAAGGTGTTATGAGTTTAGAAATAATAATAACAATGATCTTTTCTCTCACTCTCTTTCTCATTTGGTGAGAATACTCACACATAAGCATGCGAATTTGTTTACTGACAACAACGTGTGAATTGGCTGATTCCACCAGCAGGTAAACAATATCGAGAAAAACGATGCACATTTACAGGATATGGAAAAAACAATTTATTAGTTTGACACATCAAAAAAGTCAATAGAAAAAACAAAAAAGTTTTATTTGCAAATTTTATTCGATTATATGATGAAATTCATTGCTAATGATTATCAAGCACTTGACGACGCCATTTAATACGACGATTTTGAAACCAAATCTTAATAATAAAATAACTTTTAATTGATAGTAAAATTTGTTAACAGAAAAAAAAAAACTTTACTTTAACTTGTGCTTCACTCAAATTAAGTATTTTTGCTAAATATAAACGTTCATTACCAACCATATATTGTTGTTTTTGAAATTCAGTTTCAAGTCTTTCAAGTTGTTCTGTTTTAAATATTGTTCGAATGCGTTTTGATTTTAATATTGGTTTTAAATTTTCAACTATTGAATGTTCAGATTCAAATGATGATGATAATCTTAAATTTTCATTTGTTTTAAGTTGATTAATAAGTCCATAAGATGATATAGGTGAATTACAAAAAGAAGACGAAGATTCTAAATGTACATGACCATCATCACTTGAACCATCTTCAGTATCATCAATATAACTTGAATTAATAATTGTTGGTTTTAAAAGTGAATCAATATCGAATGCACATCTTTTTATTGGTCGTTTATTATTAGAATGAAATCTAAAATAAAAATTTTGATTATAACTGATGAAATTTTAAATAGACATATACCTTTTTTGTTGTTGTGATTGAAGATTTTTTTTATTTGGAGATAAATACATAGAAGATGTTGGTTGATCAAACATTGTCTTCAATTTGAAATATAGAAAAATGACAAATTGTCGATCATTAAATATAGATAGTTTCTTTTCTTTTCTTTTTTTTTGGCAACGATGATAAATATCATTCGTTGTGAATAATTGGCTATTTTTTGTAAAGATGAACACAATTGACCAATGATCATGCAATCCGGAAATAAGAAAAAAAGAAATTCGTTTGAAAGATATGATCTTGTTTTATGTAAATTATGTAGTTATACAATTAAAAACAAAACATTCGAAATATTTGAAAATGTATGGATTAGACACAGCAGTGCTCCAAGTTAAGTTTATCCCCCAATCTTGAGAAGTGTTTGTTTTATTCCGAATGAAGTTCCAGCATTTTATCTGTTTTTTTTTTCTAAATTCTCCAATCAGTGCCTCCTCAGGCATCTCCCTCAATCCGAGAGATCTCGGAACACTTCCGATTAGATAAAAAAAAAAAAAGGTTTGTTTAAATAAGAATAAACATTTCAATCTTCTTATTATTAAATTAAAGATTTATAACTATTTTCTACGAGAGTATCTAGTGACTATGTTTCAATTTGGATAGAATGCTTGCTCTTCAATTATCTATTATTTAGTGTAAGACAAGATCTAGACTGATTAAATCGATTACAATCAATCATGCAACAAAAGACAATTACTTCTTGATATTGTGTCAATAATCTTTCGATCCTTTTAACTTTTGTTAATGCGGCAGATTATTACAAGTTTTTATCCTTAACACTTTGATTGAAGAAAATAAATTTTAGGTCTAGAAATTTATCTCTTTAAAAAAAAAGAAAAGATAAAATCATCTAATGAAATTAATATGAACGAATTTTATTAATACAAATAATAAGAAGTAAAATACAGTTCCGGACAAAAGTAGTTGACCACCAAAAAGTGTTACTATTCTTTATGATATTTTAGATGTATGAGTGCCACAATAAGCTCTAATCATAAGCATTGACTCGCTCTGAATTGGTTTAAAAGTACTGGAGCTATGATTTCGACATCTTCTTATTATTGTGAACACTTTATCTTAAATATATTGTCACGAATATTTTCGTGGAATTCAGATCAATGAGTTTGGTATCCCGGGTCCAATCGCTAGATTCCAACTTCTAAGTTTCTACCATTTTCCCCTGTTTTCTGGTCAAAAAATAGCTCATTTTGCCTGCAATAAGAATCCCTCATTCGTAAGACCAATGTTGTAGTTATCTCTAGTCAAAATTCAGAGCGTGCTAATTAGTAAAACCATGACTATGTGTCACAGATTTTGGTTATACTAAGATAGACAAATACGATCACTTTTAGTGCTACAAAAAGAAAAAGTAATACCTTGTGGACAAACAAAAAATGTTTAATTTGCATAATTCTCGTTGAATATATTTTTCGCAGAGAAATGAAAATGTCTGAATAATAACTTCAGTACGTGTGAGCCGATGAAAAACAAATTAGTGCTTGCTTTCAGGGTTTATTATCGTACACATGTATTCGAAATATTATAAAGAATAGTAACACTTTATGTGGGCAAGAACATAACCTGAGTACGGATCATAAGATGTAGCGTCTGATATGAAAAGTTTGTTTTTCAAAATACTATTTTGATTTACTTTCGATCGACCAGTGTTTAATAAACTTTTTTTTTACCAACTAGAAGCAGAGCAAAAGACAACATTTTTTTAATGTGTTTTTTTAAGATGATTGAATTGTCTAATTGAACAAGTTGATGCATTCTGTACTCCCAGAATATTAACTTCGATGAAAATATATATAATTAACAAATGATCTTTCTCTTATTTTATGTATCACACAATAGATAACAAGAAACACAAATAACAATATCGATCAATTACCTTGATAAGTTTATAAAGAAACTTAGAACCGACAATCTTAGTCAATTCTTCAAGTGAGACTTAACCAATTTTAATCATACTATCACTTTTTAATCGTGTCTCATCAAGTTCGAGAAGAGCATCAAATAGCACATAAAAACTGATTAGGTCTTACTTGAAGAATTGACTAACATCAATGGTTCTAACTACCGCAAATATATGATCATGAGTGTGTAAAGTCAAGACTTCTTGCGCACTTGATTTGAAATTGATTGATCATTTCAGAAATATGATGTACTTAACAATCTACTGTTATTGTATGGTGTTTATATAATTCCTATAACATAACAACTTAATGTAAATAACAAAAAATTACGTGCACATAAATATTTCTATTTATACGCTAGAAACAATCGTTGAATGTCGATAGGCATCTAATCCTGATTTAAGTCGTTTTAATATTTCATCAATCCATTTTTCTTTCACAGAAAATATTATACGAAACCATCCTGGTTGTATACAACCAAGAAAACTTCCTGATACTAAATAAACACCATGTTCGAATATATTTTGAACTAAACGTCTTTCTTCTTCAAATGTAACTTCATGTAATAATAAACGAAAATCAGTCCATATGAAAAATCCTGCTTTAGCTGGTCGAACAACGATACGATTATCAATATCTTCTATTGCGTTTTTAACTTTTTCATATTGTTGAGTTAAGCGTGAACGATTTAATTTTATATATGAATCAATCCATTGTTCATCAGATAGAAGTGTAGCTGTAATTTCTTGAATTATAACTGATGGTACTTGAATAAAATTAGCTGCTGAACCTGCTGAATATAATTCTTTTGAACCAGCATAAAGAACACCTACACGTAAACCACTTAATGAAAAATCTTTACTTAATGACCAAAGAAAATGTGTACGTTTTGGATCAATTATTGATTTATAATTTAATATTGATTGAAATGGTTTTTGATTTTCAAATATACTTAATGCATAAATTTCATCTATAATAACATGTAATTTTTTTTGAGCTGCAAATTCTAAAATAGGATGAATTGTTTGTTCATCATATATATCTCCAATAGGATTATTTGGATTAAGAATAATAATTCCACGTGGCTGGAGACCTTGATTTATTGCTTCTTCATAACCACGTTTATAAATTTCGACTGAAAATATAAATTTTCCACTGTCTTGTTCAAGTAATGGACATCGAAATATAGCACAATTGGAGAAAACTGATACATCATGATCAAATGCAGTATAATAAGGTGATGATATGAGAAAAACATCATCTGTATCACCTATAAGATAAGCTAATAATGACATAATACCTGTTAATCCACTTGAAATTATCATTCGATCTGGATCAAGTTCATAATTAAGGTGAAAAGTTCTTTGAAAAAAATTACATAAAGCTTGTTGTAATGATTTTTGACCTGATGAATACGGATAATACATAAAATTTGTTTTCCATATTTGAATTGATTGAAGTTTTGAAATTAATTCATTTTCACATAAATAATTTTCTGCAACACCACAGTTAAATATCCCATTAGGATTTAATTCATCATCATAGGGATTTTTTTCAAGTAGTGAAAAATTTTTCAATAATCCGGTCATATTTTGAGTCAATTGTTGAGCACGAATGGAAAGTGTATCCATGATCTCAAATAACCAAATAAAATTTTTATTTACTTTCGAAAAAAATCGAAATTAAAATTGAAAATTTATATTGTAAATGAGAAAATTTAACAAGATTTCTTTCAATGAAAAAGAAGATTTTACTTGCAGCAAATATCTCGTATGATGTATTTCAAAAAAACAACGATTAAAATCCAATGAAAATGAAAGAAAAAGAATGATAGAGTGGTAAAGAAAGAGTGCGAACATGAGAATACTATTGTAAATTGTGCATAGTATCAGGTCTATTCTCACATAAAAAATTGCCAGTGCGCGTGTATGTTGTAATGATAGGCAATTGATATGCACTTATCATTCAGGCAAGTAATGAAAATATATAGATGTCTCTACACGTAAAAAGCGTATCGTTGAAAGTGAATCTGTTTTAATTTTTTTCCGTCGAAATTTTTTTAGCGAATCAACATGTACATTTTATAAAACCGTTGAATATTTTTTTTCATACGCGTCTACTTAGCTTTTTTCCTTTCTATCATAGTTATTTTCACAAGGTGGAAAAAATGCATAATGTACTTTGTCGTTACTCAAAACATTGTTGTATTTGTTTAGGATGTAAAGTATGATATATTCTTTTATTAAAGCCGTGCACATTTATTACTCGATTCCTTTTCTCATCTTTTTTCGAATAGGAACAATATAAAAGAAAAAATTATCTCGATCTTATATACAAGGTTATTTAAAAAAAAAACTAATCTTTCCGTTGACAGATCATATTTGGATTGTTGTCAAGTGCCATACAGAGGAAAAAAATGATTCATTCATTTTGTTCTTTTAAACATGGAGTCTTTTCTCATTGTGTGCATTTTGAATATGAGTTTTATTCAATTAATATAGATTAAATTCAATGACTTGATCTATTGTAAAAAGACGTAATACAAGTAGTTGATGATATATTTAATATATACTTCAATGAATATTTTGATAAATGTTGAACTCTAATTCAATTATTTGAAAAAGTTATATCGAATTTGTAGATTATTGAAATCGTATTCATGTTTGATATCAATTTGAAAAAATAGTTTATAGAAATCTATATCATTGACTCGAAAAAATTAATTAGTTAAATTATTAAAAAATATATAATGATAATATGATTGCCTCAACGATGAAGATAAACTAATATACATACACTCAGATAAATAATTGTACCATCATACTAAAATGATACCTAATCTCTAAGATAGAAAATCGCGCTCGCGGATTAG